TGTGTGTGTGTGTGTGTGTGTGTGTGTGTGTGTGTGTGTGTGTGTGTGTGTGTGGACAGGAAATTAGTCATCTCTGAAAAGTCAACATCGACTTGTTTACAAAGTATTATATTACTACTTCCATGCATGTTCACCAGCTAACAAGTTCTTTCCCCCCCTTCTCCTAACCGGGTGATTTCTTGTGTGAGCAAACTGAATATAGTGATGTTTATATTCTATAAGCACAAGTGTATTTTTATGTGGAGAAACTGCAACAGGTTACATTTGATATGGACTGTTCTTTGCAATGAAGGTAACGGATTGCAATAAACTGGAAATAAGGCTGTAGAGAGTGGCTCTTTCTTATTCATGACAGCTCCTTTTTTTGTTCCTGAAATTGGGAGAATTGGGCCGCGTCATACCAGAGCCCAACTACCGGTATATCAATGGAACCGGTTTTAGCCACGCCCCAAAAATTCAAAAACTTGAAATAGCAAAAGCGGTTAAGGATATCCCTGCTAACTGAGTTCTATCTTTGCTAATTTTCATGCAATTATCTTCAAACATATATAAAGAATTTAGAAGCAAATCTGGATTCATGAAAAGGTTTTTAAGAAAAGGAAACTACTTGATGTGCAAAAAAAAAAAAAAAGGTACTGTACATAACTCACAGCAACACATTTATTTTTAATGTCTGCACTTTTATTAAAGGAGTTGAATCGGTCCTTTTACCATTTTTTAACACAGACTTTACTTCTACATATGTACAACAATATGTCCGTATTTAGACACAAATGCCATCACTGCTGACCTTTTAAAACTTCCCGTTTGTCTATTCCACACTCTGTCCTTACATACAGTAAAACAGCCTGACCAGCCAACCCGGCTTCGACTCCACCTTTGGGAAGCACATATTGTGTTCCGTCGCTGCATCTATGTGGGTCCATCATTTTCAGCTGCTCATTGCTTCGAGCGACGCTGTCCAAACTCCACAGCTGGTAGCGCAGACTTTTCCCCTGCTTGGCCAGGATGTAAATCTCTCTGAGACGTGAGATGTCCACAGTGGGACAAGATGAGGAGGAGCTGGAGTGTCCACGCAGGTGAATCCATGGCAGAGTGGGGTCAGGCTGTGTGGGCTCTGTCCCTATGTCCCCCTGGTTCATACCCAGGAGAACACCTGCAAGGTAAAGAAAGGCATGGCCGGTCAGGCTCTATCAGAGGATCTGATCTTCTACATTTATCAACATCAAGTGTAATATTTGATCCATGAAATTGTATGAATTATTCTTTATTTTATATATATACATTTCTTACCTGAAGCTACAGCCCAGTGAGCCCTGTGGCCGCCACGCTCGCAAGGCTCATGGTTGTAGTCTTCATCATATCTGGGTGGCCAGTATCAAGGCGCACATTTCCTCGTTTTAAGCTTTTTGCGGCTGGGCTCAGTCTGTCCAGTAAATCTTTTGTGATCAGCCTATAACTGAAAATGTGTCCATCCGCAAGCCGTCCTGCCCTTGGACTCCACTTTGACATAATGAGGCTAATTTGCATAGTGACCACCCTTGCACGGAAGTTCTGCATCCGTGACACAGTCACATCCAGAGCCACTTTCAAGTGATCGTCGGACAATATTCTTTGAAACACTATCATGCATCCACGTAAAAATCCTATTATCAACTAAAGAGGTAAGCAGAGCTGCATCGGATTATTTAGGATGCACAGATTAGCAACAATAACTTCTGATTCGCAGCACATACTCGATTGCTCCCTGAAATTGATGCAGTGGACATCTGTATTTGTGTTCAGTAATACGGCACAAGTGCTGCCCCCACAATTGAAAATGCTTTCACTTTATGGGCGATCATAAGAAGAATCTACTCTTATGTCATGAGATCCAGGCACCCTAATGAGGACAAGCGCTCTAGAAAATGGATAGATGTCTTCTTTTACACTATACTATTTAAAAAATGGATACGGGATAAGAACAGGTTGTCTGCTCCACAAGTGTGCGACGATCCTGTTGGCATTTTTGCCACTCAAACCACCCGCTAGCAACTCCGCCTTACAGCCACACACCTCCTCGGCCAGCAACGCCATGTTTCGAGCTGACAAAGAAAAGATATGACAGACCGTCAGGGAGATCATTAGGAATTACCTCTGACACTTTACTGAAATGCTTTCATACATATTACTGAAGACTTTTGCATCTGCTACTGAAACACTCATACACACTACTAAAGTGCTGGAACTCTCACGATTGAAACGCACTCACACACTAATGAAACACTTTCATGCACAAGTGACTGATTCAGTCTTGAGAATGAGTGTGATTCAATAGTTCTGTGAATGTTTTGGTTATTTGCATTTCAATTGTATGTGTAAGAAGAACCTCACTGATATGTCACAGTACTATACAGACACACGTACACTTTATCTTCCTTTTCTTTACCTGAGAACATTTCCCCCTGTGCTGTGAAGCCTCGGCCGAGCGCAACCTGAACCACGTCGTCCATGTCAACGGCTGCTCGCCGCAGGTGAGCGGCCATCCACAAGGCCACCAAGCCACACCTACAAAGTAAACAGAAAAACACAATCGGCGTACAGACACACCCTGGCAAATACAGTACAGTATGCCTAATAATGACGTCAAAGTATTGCGAGAGTTTCCAGTGTTGCATAAGTATGCTATCAGTCAAAGGCAGAGCATGACAGTACTTGACAAGCATTCCGCACTTACTGTGGGCCGTCTTGGATGAGAGAAGGCACGTACGTGTTTACCAGAGTCCAGTGGAGAGCTCGGCTGAAACTGAAACATACAAAAAATAAATTACATTTACTGTATAATTACTGTGTTTGGCATAAGGAAAGAGTTAAACTGAAACAATCAAGCATGTTGAGGACGGGCTGTTCAGAAAATGAATGAATGAATTCAAAGACATAATTCAATGTTTTGTTTTCTTGCATGATGACACTTCGGTTTTGTTGTGCATGCTTGTGATGCCTAAAGCCGTCGCCAATCATGCAAGTGATCTTAATCTCATGTGATCTATTTGATACAGAGGAAGGGATACTGTCATAACAATAGAACAACTGGTCTAAGTTTATTATTATTATTATTATTATTCATCGGTCACCTGCTCTCCCTCTGACTGATGAGCAGGAGAGGCTCTGTGTTGTCCCCTTCCAGTGGGCTCCTGCCGCCTCCTATCGTCTGATACAACTTCTTCTTTTTGCCGGTTGAATCTGGAGGTGCTGGAGGAGGAGGTGGCAGAGGAGGTGGAGGAAGAGGGGACATGTGTAACCCCGACATAACCTCTGATATCCTGTCAGGGATAGTGACGCTTGATATTAACTTGCAGTCCGGCACCGTGCAATAACAACGCACACCTTTCTTTCTGCAACGAACACAACAGCTTAAGAAGTTCGTTATTATGTGCTAACAAGCCGTGGTCGTCTTCTCTTGACGATTATGACCTAAAAACATTATTCGCATTGTTCTGTTGCACATAGTGATTCGTTCTGATAAGTTCTTGCGAAGTAGCTTTTCTGACCAGCGAAGCCGGTTTTTCTGACCAAATTTGGCAACTTCCAACGTTCTTCTTCCTGTGCTCGGCGGGTTGCATCGCCGAACATGCATTATCGCCCCCTGTAGGAAATTTCGATTCTCAAAGTGCATTATTATTTACAAAACACTGGTGTTTTAACGAGCTCATTTTCAAAACCTTGTCGAGTAACCATATAAACTTGATGTTCCATATTCAGTACTGCCATACGTCTGCTTGTTAATGTATTGTAAAATGCAATATGGAAATCACCTCTGAAGGTGGCAGTAATGCATCTAAATGCTGTTTGTCGAAATTACGACGAAGAAGAACTGCTTGAATTTTATCGCGAGACTTGAGCGCCGGATCCATCCGCGTTTCATTCAGCGTTCAAGGTACGTACTGGTCTTTTATTAGAAGTCTATGTTTTACATCTAATTCTCTTATTTCGTTACAAGCCTTGGTGAGCATGATTCTTTATTTCCTCTTTTAAGTGGTTCACACGTTTCTGTACAACAAACTGTAGGTTTTTATCTTACTAATGCTGCATTAGAATTAGCTATTTAGCTAAGGGTAACCCCACGCCGTTCAAGTGAATGGCGGTTGCTAATACTCACTGTTCATCCAGTCGATTAAATGTCGTTTTCTGTGCTTTTTGTTCTGTCGATTCCACGTGAAGCATTTTCTTTTCGAATTTTCAGATGGCCACGACGGAGGTTCGGCTTAATCACACGATCTACATCAATAACTTGAACGAGAAAATTAAGAAAGATGGTGAGGACCGCCGACTACCTAACCACCTATGAGTGCTGCAGCCCATAAAGTTTTTAATGAATTACTTTTTCATGTATATACATTTTAAACATCATTTCAAGGTAGTATGAAGTTCGATGCTATTTGTATTTGAAATGGAGGAACCTTTATACATAATTAACTCATTTACGTGGCACTTACCTCCAGTATATAATTACATAAAAATAGGTTAATTCTTGTTTGAAGATTAGATCCATCAATTTTCTGCAGTGCTTCTCCTATTTGGGTCATGCGATGGAGTATATCCCAGAACAGGGTACGCCCCCCCCCTCTCGATATCCCCGTTCTGTTCTTAGTCCTGAGCTATTAATGACTTGTTTATTAATATTTTTAGTTCACATAAGATCACGCAATTTATTTTCAAAGGTGTGCAATGTGAATGATGTATCTGTTTTCTTTCCCTAGAGTTGAAGAAGTCTCTGTACGCCATCTTCTCTCAGTTTGGCCAGATTTTGGACATCTTGGTTGCACGTACTTTGAAAATGAAAGGTCAGGCCTTTGTCATTTTCAAAGAAGTCAACAGCGCCTCCAATGCTCTCCGATCCATGCAGGGATTTCCCTTCTATGACAAACCCATGGTATGTCCTTGGTGGCATTCATTTTTTTTTCCACCTAACATACCTCCTTTAGAAAAAAACTTGATGATTTTTTTTGGGATCAACTCTTTACGCAGCGCATCCAGTATGCCAATCAGGATTCGGACATCATCGCCAAAATGAAAGGCACTTATGTCGAGCGCGATCGTAAGAAGGAGAAGAAGAAGCCTCCGAAGTCAGAATCGAGCGGGAACAAGAAGTCGGCCGCCATGGCCGGTGGCGCGGCTGCAGGCATGCCCGTAAGATGCACACAATTGTATTTATCATACCCTTATATTTATAACATTTATTCTAGTCTACCAAAATAAATCACTGGGCTGTCGTCACTACTTTTATTGACATCCTCTGCAGGGAATGGCACAGATGAACCAGGGGGGCCGCATGATGCACATGCCAGGACAGCCACCCTACATGCCCCCGCCGGGTATGATGCCCCCGCCAGGGATGGCACCTGGTCAAATGCCCCCTGGTGGCATGGGTCACGGTCAGATGATGCCCGGACAGATGCACCACCAGGTATTGTCTGTTGTCTTTTAGGGGCTTTTTTTTTTCTCTCTCTCTGGTGACTGTGTCCTCATTTACATTACATTGTGTGAAGGGAAACAAAAAAAGAAAAACAACCACATCAAATTTGATGTCAAAATTATATTAAATTGGGAAAGATGTGCACGATGTGTTTGTAACTCATTTATGCTTCCAGATTTCGGAGAATCCTCCCAATCACATCCTCTTCCTCACCAACTTGCCCGAAGAGACCAACGAGCTTATGCTGTCCATGCTCTTCAACCAGTCAGTAAAAACTCAGTGCATTTAATAACATGCACATTTGTATTCAGCTGCATTTTAAACACAGAGCGTCTGTCGTTTGCTCTGCAGGTTCCCGGGCTTCAAGGAAGTGCGTCTGGTCCCCGGCCGGCACGACATCGCCTTCGTGGAGTTTGACAACGACGTGCAGGCCGGCGCCGCACGCGAAGCGCTGCAAGGCTTCAAGATTACGCAGAGCAACGCCATGAAGATCTCCTTCGCCAAGAAATAACTTGGTCACCTCTTCACACAGGTGTGTTTGCAGCAGTGAAACAAACTGAGGATGTTTTTTTTTTTTGTTGTTGTTGTCATTTTTGTGTTCTTTACTCTCAAGTGTTGATTTTACTGTACTGTGTATTTGTGAAAGCATTGCACCCAGCGTCTGGTCTGTCAGACATCACACCTGGAGCTTTTGATTTTGATTTTTTTAACAATAAAAACAAACTGACCGAAAATGTACTGCCTCATCACTCATCACTCATCATTGAGTGTTAAGTCCAGCAGGTGGCGCCTTTGTTGTGGTTATTGAGTTAAGTGTGACAGGAGGCAACCTTCCAGTCAAGATAGGTAATAAGTTACTACATAGTGCAGTCATCTTTTGTGGAATCATCCTTCATTTCTCTGTGGTGGTTAATTACTATCAATGGCTTTTAAATAACTTATTTGCTTTTTATCACATTGTGTGGCTTCATCTAATTGAGCATAATGTTGTAAATTTACGAGAAAGGTGGCTGCCCTTGGGCGCCACGTTGGTGACCCCGGCACAATAGGCTGTATTCTATAATTATTTACTCTTTTAAAAGGGTCACCTGGTGTGATATTTCTTACTTTGAAAAAACTTGTCCGTTTACAACAATGTTAAAAGCAGACGTTACTTTGGATTCAGTTTGCTTGTTTTTGTTCTTACAAAAGGTCTTAATGTTAAAGCTTTATTCTCTACATTGATCAGGAAACAGTTTATAAACACTACGTAATGTTACCATTATAAAGTGGTACCATTTTGCTGGAGTTTCCATTACAAACATATGACTTCAAGTCCTCGAGCTGAGATATGTTTTCCTATACAAATATGGAAATGCAAAGTATTTCAAAAAGTTTTTACACCATAAAAAAACTTAAAATTATCACGAGTACATTTCCTATGGCAATCAAAATTGCGAAAACATTCATACTGGGATTCATTATGCAACCCATATCACAAATCTTCACACTCATAAATCTGCTTTGAACTGAGTGTAGTTTTATTGCATTTCCTCAATTAATCTATTCTGTGTTTCAGTGTGTATTACCTCAAATGTATTACCTAAAAGTAAAACCGAAGCGTAACATTAAACTTTATTCGTTCTTATTTACTCTCAAGTGTTGATTTTACTGTACTGTGTATTTGTGAAAGCATTGCACCCAGCGTCTGGTCTGTCAGACATCACACCTGGAGCTTTTGATTTTGATTTTTTTAACAATAAAAACAAACTGACCGAAAATGTACTGCCTCATCACTCATCACTCATCATTGAGTGTTAAGTCCAGCAGGTGGCGCCTTTGTTGTGGTTATTGAGTTAAGTGTGACAGGAGGCAACCTTCCAGTCAAGATAGGTAATAAGTTACTACATAGTGCAGTCATCTTTTGTGGAATCATCCTTCATTTCTCTGTGGTGGTTAATTACTATCAATGGCTTTTAAATAACTTATTTGCTTTTTATCACATTGTGTGGCTTCATCTAATTGAGCATAATGTTGTAAATTTACGAGAAAGGTGGCTGCCCTTGGGCGCCACGTTGGTGACCCCGGCACAATAGGCTGTATTCTATAATTATTTACTCTTTTAAAAGGGTCACCTGGTGTGATATTTCTTACTTTGAAAAAACTTGTCCGTTTACAACAATGTTAAAAGCAGACGTTACTTTGGATTCAGTTTGCTTGTTTTTGTTCTTACAAAAGGTCTTAATGTTAAAGCTTTATTCTCTACATTGATCAGGAAACAGTTTATAAACACTACGTAATGTTACCATTATAAAGTGGTACCATTTTGCTGGAGTTTCCATTACAAACATATGACTTCAAGTCCTCGAGCTGAGATATGTTTTCCTATACAAATATGGAAATGCAAAGTATTTCAAAAAGTTTTTACACCATAAAAAAACTTAAAATTATCACGAGTACATTTCCTATGGCAATCAAAATTGCGAAAACATTCATACTGGGATTCATTATGCAACCCATATCACAAATCTTCACACTCATAAATCTGCTTTGAACTGAGTGTAGTTTTATTGCATTTCCTCAATTAATCTATTCTGTGTTTCAGTGTGTATTACCTCAAATGTATTACCTAAAAGTAAAACCGAAGCGTAACATTAAACTTTATTCGTTCTTAAAACATCTGTAAAATTTAAGGTCATTCAGCTGAGAATTGGCTACAGACGTTAGACTGCAAAATTATGTGGGAACGTTTGGATACGCAATCCTCATAAAAAATACGAAACCTTAACCACAAAACCACAATTTATGACGAACCTTTCCCGAATTGAAATGAAGAACATTTACCACCTGTGGCTTGATCTATGTCAAAACATGTTGGCTCCAATGAATTGCTGTACCGAATTTTCCGCACTATAAGACGCACCTAAAAGCATTCAATTTTCTCAAAAAGTCGACAGTGCGCTTTATAATCCGATGTACCTTACATATGGATCATTATTCTGATTTCTTGGATGTCGTATTTGAAATGTTCTGTCAAGCGCTTTGTTACAGCTTCAGCGGTTGTGAAAGCGCTATAAAAATAAAGCTGTATTGTATTGTATTCCCTTTTGCGTAGCTCCATCTAGTGGATGCATAACACAACCGCAGCCACTATTGTGGCTTCTATTCTCTGTGCCGTATAATTTGACGCACCCTAGCTATGAAAACAATTTAAAAATAAGCCATTCAATGAAGGTGTGCCTTATACTCTAAACAGCCTTCGTGCGGAAAATATTTGTTAAGACCGGGGTCGATCAGAAGACTATGGGCACTCAGAGTTGATATTCCAGGGTTGAATCAATCTCAATGAAATTTAACAGCCACTTGTGCTCACAGTAGTGTGCCAATTAGTACATTCCCAATTCCTGTTTGCCTACCGTATCCTCTGTGGCCTTCTCTTCTTGTGCAGTGTAATTATGTGTTGCAAACACTGAGTGGATTGAGCGTGAGTTCGTTTTTATTTGGACACACTGTGGGTGACTGTCGTACACATACAAACACACACTCACACACAGTGAGGCCTCCCCCTGTTGTGGACTTAAACTGTGCCCTGAGTTATTGTCTTTAGGTCACCTCGACTGTGTTCGTACAAATGCACATTCTTCCGTCACTTTCCCAAGCCTTTCTACACTCCCTTATTTTGCCTTGAGAAAGTGCTGACCTTAGCCCCCAGGGCGTCATATGTGTGTGCCTGTGTGTGTGTTGCCTGCTCCTGGCAACATGCCTAGCACCTTCCTACTCACCAGCACAGTGTTCTTACAGTTGCATGAAGGGACTCATCTGTCGGCTCACATCCGGGAGGGTCTTGACGTCACTGCGCAGTCAAATAAAAAGAAGGAGAACGCAAAAAATCTCCCTGATGATTCCGCCCCCTGCCCCCCCTTTTTCCAAACTGGATCTCTGTCGGTCTGCTTCCTTTCCGACACACTTGTTTGTAAGGCTGGTTATATTTGGAGAATCTTGGCCGCAAATGGCATAGTTTTATGATGCGGATGTCATGATCGCATGAAGGAATGTGTTGATTCACAAAATTAAGGGATTGGGAATTGCTGAGTAACTCATGATGAGATGAACGTTCTTATAGTATCACAATACCATGCTATTTCTAATCCGTTTATTCTCATGACGGTAGCAGGCGTGCTGGAGCTCTCTTTGGTCAGCAGGTGGGGGACACACCCTGAACACGTTGCCAGCCAATCGCAGGACACTGTATCACACTTCCATATGGCGATTTATTTTTTCCTCTCCCATAATTGATGTGCAGCAGGGGTCAACAACGCGTCCAAGCCAAAAGGCTGTTTGGGACCCAAAAGTGGGTCATCGACCCATTTGAGGTGAGTCATGGTCAGCCAGTAAAAATAAGATAAATAAAAATATAACATGGTTAAATCTTGGTGCTGAAGTGAGTTGAAGAGCTTCATATACCGTCATAGACAAGTAGTCCTTTGCTTGCATCCTGTGACCTCAAGGAGCAAAAAACACTTATGATGCATTAAAATATTTACATAACAACAAGAGATGTGATTTTCTCCCTACCCAACCAAAAGTCATCATAGGTCAGATTATCGGTTATGTGTAAAAGATGGTACTACGTCAGACATCCAATTTGAGTGAGGAGGTGTGTGATTGGTCGATGAGGGTATCGTTATGTTGGAATGAGCTGCGTTGGTCATCTTGATCACAGAACAAACTGATTTTACATTTAAGAAAAACTGTATGACTGTTTCAGAAAAGAAAATGACATCAGCAATACATTGCAGGGCACAGCTCCTTTGGGCACTATTTTTCCACTCAATAAGGCACTGTCTTGGAAACAGGAGTTAGGAACATTCCACTAAAGATAATCATCCTTTTGGAAAAAAAAACTTGAACAAACCCTGATTTATAAGCAACGGGAGGAGGACAAAGAAGCGAGCCTTGTGGGATGCCGGGTATGACGGACAGCTTCATTGTGTCAGCATTTTGAGACCTGCATTCATTTGTAAAGGGGATACAGATTATTTACATTGAGCATGATGAATCTTTATTTCCTTTTTTTCCAAAACAGGGTAATTAGATCTTGCTTATTCGCTATTATTATCTTCCTCAGGTGATTCCACAGAGAGCTGTGGATCACAGACTTGGTCCTGTCATGTCGCTTTCCGCTTGCCTTGGTTAAGAATTCATCTCGGGCACTGAGGTCACAGCCCTGGCATGCAAATCAAGGCCCCCACTTCCTCAAGGGTCCTCTCTGTTCCCCTGCCGGGGGTTGGGCGGGTCGGGGGGTGTGGGGGTGGTGTCAATGGCGATCGCCAGGGGCCCGAGGAAACGCCAGCGGTTGTCAGGGAAGTTCTTGAGCAACAAGACCACCATCGGCGATATAGAAGGTACATTGTGTGGACATCTGTGGAAAATATGCTATGTGCATGTGCGCAATACCCTGAAAATATTTTCTTGTTATATTTATGTCTTGTTTCTGTTGGTGTTATTAGGGAGATTAGCAGCTACAGGTTGGCTCACTCATTCTGATGGTGAGTGGCAGGTTAGGCTGGGGGATTTAAAAAAATGGTTAATTATTGGATAGATATAGAAAAAGAAAATAAAGAAGTTTTTGGAATATTTTGTTCTTTTACAAACCCGTTTAAAAAAACGGATAAACATTCAGTGTACCTTTTTAATGAAAAATGGGAGAAAGTGGCAGAAAAAAAATCCCAAATATATATATATTTTTTTTTTAAATGAAGAAAAAGAACAGCATCCACGAATACGCAATTCTGCGGGTGCCAAACATGCAGGGGTTGACTGCAGTTTTAAGTTGTTATATTACCAATCACCACTAGATGGCAGATGTATCCGTTGCTTACCCCAACACTGGGTTTGCCCTATGAGTAGACCTTTTATTTGTATATACAGATAGATAGATAGATATAAACAATTCGTTGGCTGGGTCCTTCAACACATTCAAAGTTACGCATCATTAACTATTTCATGCTCAACTTTCTAATTTGAATTTTTCATTATTTATTTATCTTATTACAGGTGACTCATCTGAATGGTTGGGGTATCGCCCTGGCACACTATATCCACCAGTCGCCACTACTTAAATGTACCGTATTGATTAAAAAGAAACAGTTGGGCCACTGTAATGTGCATATTTTGAAAATGTAATTCAGTGGTTCTTTTGCATACCACTAATGTTACTCATGACACATTTTGAGAATCATTGATGACTATAATTCCATTGCAGTTGGCTGGCGACCAGAACCGGTTGTACCTTGCTTCTCGCCCAGTAAGTTAGGAATAGGTTCCAGCTCGACCTTGACCTGAATGAGAAAAGTGCTATAAAAAAATGGATGGATGGCTACAATTCCCATGACACCTTAATGGAGATTGAGACATAATCATTCGCAACATTGGTCAGTAGCAAATTTCAATCAAAGATGGCTTTATGTGTCACGAAAAGTATTTTTGACAGTGATTTTAAAAAATCTTTACCTTTTTTTCCCCCTACAGGTTTATGAGATACTTTCTTTCTTGTTCCTAAGTTTGACCTGTAATAGCTTGGGCAATGCAGAATTATTATTATTATTATTTTTTTTGTTATTTATAGCTTTGAAAAAACACTTTAACCTGTTCCTGAACCTAATCCATACTTCAGAAATATTAGTGAATACATTATTATTGTTACTGTTGTTGTTCTTGTTATGAAAACCTGATTTGTTAGAGAAAAAATGAGGGCAGATTCGGAATCAGCGCAAGCAATTCATAAGTACATGTGTTTATATGTATCTCAGATGTTTTTTTAATTGTAAAAAAAAAATAATCTTTCACTCGTGATATCAGATTTTTTCTTCCTAAACTATCATGTCATTGTTTTGTACAGCTTAACCCAATATTATTACCGGTGAGTTTTTTGATTGAACACCAGCAAGAAGTGTCACACTAAAATGCAGTGACTGGATTTGTCATTTAAATCAGGGGTCCCCAACCACCGGTCCGCGGACCGGTACCGGTCCGCCGGGCATTTGGTACCGGGCCGCACAGAAAGAACTTGCCTTAATTCCGATTTATTTCGGAAAACGAAAGATGTTTTATTTTGAAAAACTACCGGATTCTCCGTTACATCCGTCTGTGTCACACTTGACACACAACAAGCCACGCTTCTCCGTCACGTGACCGATTACTTCAAAACAAAACACAGAAGCTCGCAAAATGAGTAAAAAAAAACTGCTGGACATCGCAAATCACGGCGGCCTTAAAAGTACGTTTGAGACAACTGGATTAAAGTTATGGCTGAATACTCTGAGATCGCCACAATAGCACTGTTGCTATTTCCGACATCTTACCTGTGTGAGGCGGGGGGTTTCTGCAGCAACGGCGACGAAAACAAAATTACGAAGTAGACTGGACATAAACCACACACTTGAGGTGTCATTGTCTCCTTTTACCCCGAGATGGGACCGTCTGGTTGCAGAAAATCAAGCTCGGTGCTGTGGTGAGTCGTCATTTTCATGCACTTTGAATTTGCGTTGTATCGTATTTTGAAGGCATTAAACATTGCCATAGCGATTGGAGTGTTGCGGCCAGATTAGACGCTCCTTGTGTTTATTATTATATTTCGAAAACGCCACAGTTTTCATGCAGCTCATACCATATTATTTTGTTGTCTTAATCCGCCACACCTTAAATGCCGGTCCCTGAAAATATTGTCTGACATAAACCGGTCCATGGGGCAAAAAAGGTTGGGGGCCCCTGATTTAAATGACATTATTTGGTAGAAAGGGGGAGGTTGGCTTTGGGGTGATTGTTGGGGGGAGGGTGGGGTAACACATGGGGCCCTCGGCGTCCAGCCGGTGTAAATCCTCGGCCTCGCTGCTAATTGGCACAATGCGAAGCTTTTGATGTAAAAGGACAACAAACAGAGGCTGCAGTGGATTGCGTAAAGACTTTACGCATGGATAATCTGGACGGGGGGCGCCTCCGTGACGCGTAATGAACCAAAGTTAGAGAGGGGAGAGAGAGAGAGAGAGAGAGAGAAAGTGGAGCTTTTGTCACCGATGGAAATCTTCCGGGCCGGCGCTGAAAGACTGATAGTCTCTGCTTCAGGACACACCCTCCGTGCGCTCTCTCTCTCTCTCTCTCTCTCTCTCTCTCTCTCTCTCTCTCTCTCTCTCTCTCTCTCTCTCTCTCTCTCTCTCTCGCCCTCTCTTTCTCTTTCTCATTGTTTCCCACACTGACTCGCCGCCAGGCTCTGTATGCGCTCGACAAATGACCAGCCGGCCGCTTTTTGCACGAGGAGCGCACAAAGGAAAATAAACTTCAGGCTAACCAACAACAACAACAACAAAAACAACAATAACAAAAATGGGCTAGAATCGGAACACGTTCGATTGCTTCAGGGCTTGATTGATCAGCCTTGAAGAGAGAGGGAGAGTGACCTAATTGGGATGAGAGTTCAAGTCCAGCTCGCCGCCAGATTGGACCTTTAAAGCCGCTTTAAAGAGGAAGGAGAACCGTAGCTACCCTCCGGTGGCACGTTTATGGTCGTGGTGCGTTTGTAGACTGACACTTTTCAGGAGGGGCGCAGGTGTATGCGCGGCGGGTGCATATCAAAGCAGGGATGAACTAAGTGGGAACCAGAAAGGGGTGTCAAAGGTTCGGTTCGGAATAGGGGCGGAGGAGTGGAGGTGGAGGGGGCGACCATCGCCTTCCTCCGAAACCAGGATGGAAGGCACAAGTCGGCCGGAGCCCAACAGCGTCACCGGCAAGCCTGCCGCGCACACAGAGAGCCTCCACCTACAGCGGGTTGTGATCTTCCTCGTCGCGCTCGTCATGCAACCACAGGTAAGCCGACGATTAAGTGCTATTTGCAGCAACACTTAAAGCACATCAGCTGACTTATGGCACACTTTGGTACCCACTTCTGTTTAAATTCGCATTTGCAAGTCATTGTCTCCCTTTGTCATTTGTTTTGTGCTGCCGGTTTTCTTCTGTGGCGCTCTGCCCACCTGTTGTTCTTACTCGGAGAACCGCACCAATTCTGGTTTTACTGCATGCATTGATGCAACGTCATGGGAATTGCTTTCTAAGAGTATTTTTCTCAAATGAAATGTAATTTTTTTTTCTTTTACAATTTATATGCCTGACCGAAAATGCCAATGGACATGGGCAGCTTTTATATGTATTGGGATATGTTCTGTATAAGCACCCATTTGACACTTCATTAAGTGTAATGAGGTTGCAATACATCAACTGAAAAAATAAAATAACTTTAACAGTATTTGCTCATTATTGGGGTTGTAGTTTGTTGTGCATGTGTGTACAGCATGTGTAGAACAGTTGTGGAAGCACATGTGCCTGACAGTTTTGAGGTTAATGGTTCAAATCTAGGTTCCGGCATACCAGTGTGGAGCCTGCAGATTTTCTTATATTTGCATTTGTTATATTTAAGTACTCTCACTTCTTCCTTCATTTAAAAAACATGCTTTTTAGTCTCATTTTAAGATGGTGATGGTGATTATTTGACTATGTGCCTATATCTGCGCCCTGCAATTGACTGGCAACCAGTCCAGGATGACTCTTGACTCTCACCCAAAGTCAGCAGAGATAGACTCCATGTTACACAGACAGGTACAGAACTGTCCTGTGTTCCACTCTTAAAACCCACAAGGCCACATGTTCAGGTGTCTGGTTGTTATGCCACCGTATAAACTGCGAGTGGCCAGCGACCAGTCCAGGTCGTATCCCGCCTCTCACCCTAAGTCAACTAGGCTAGGTTTCAAGTTACAAATATAGAAATATATGAAACCATCCTGTGTTCCAGGCTATGTCAAGGTGTCTGGTTGTTATGCCAACACAGAACTTTAAGAAGGATTGCTCTGAGTCTGACTCAGGTAAACTCGCTCAAAACTGAACTGGGGTACGCTTCAACTCAACCGTGACTGAGGACAAGCACAGTACTCTAGAAAAGAGGAGTCTGCAGTATTGTGGAATCACAAACACAAGCGTCATTAATATTTCACCCCTGTCATTGAACCAGATAAGCAAAAGTGAGCATTATATCTGTCAAATCATGTTTGTATCGAAGGTGTACATAATGAACTGGCCAATGATCTCATTTTACTTGCAGTTGCTTGACGTATCAGCTATTGTTAATAACCTCCGTCACTTATTCATCACCATTTTACTTAAATGTCGGTGTTGTTTTATGGAGCGATTTATATGAAAAAAATTGGAAGAATGAGTGTGGTCTTGAAATGCTGATTTTATACTGTGCAGCTGTCAGGCACTGAATAATGTCTCTGATGTGAGGCGGGCCCAGAAGTGGGTGCTCCATGTCCTGTATATGTAAGTGTGTGCGCGTGTGTGCGTGTGTGTTTTACTAACACACATCTAGCTTCTGGTTCTTGTGTGCGTGTGTGAAGCCCAAAGGCCACTGCCAAGAAAACTCTGGAGTATATGAATGTTGAATGTTCGGGTGTTTCTCTATTTATATGCATGTGTGTGTGTGTGTGTGTGTGTGTGTGTGTGTGTGTGTGGCACGTGTGTTTCCGGGGAAGGTCTATGAGCTGTTTTCTGATGGCGGACCTCATCTTTTGAGGAAGTGAAGGTTCACTAAGGTGTAAAAAAAGCCAAATTATTCTCACATTGTTTAGGTTACGTTGCAAGACAAGTCTGTCCAACATACAAAGGGCTCTTTTTTCAAAGTCGCACATGTATTTGTAAAAACTGGCGCATCTTGAGTTTTGTACCGGGGCAAGTCTCGTTTGCCATGTTTGGGAATTTGACAGAGCATGCTACGCCATGCTGGGTGTTTCGGTGGACTGATGGAGTTTTCTAAGTGCATCTGATAATTTGATGACAGACAGTAGACTATATCTTAGACCAGCTAAAAGCAGGTCTAAGTTGTGGTGCAAGTGGTGTGATGCGATTTTGGTGGTTTTTGATCCAGAGGCAGGCAGACAGATTCTGCGCTCTGCTGATATGTTTGATGGATGTCATCGTATGTCATTCATAAATATGCAACGTGCATCAAATCCTCTGATGAGTCTCATCATCTTTAAGATATTTTTAAAAGCTCCCCACTGTCTGCGGCACAACTGTGCGTGTGTGTGTGTGTGTGTGTGTGTGTGTGTGTGTGTGTGTGTGTGTGTGTGTGTGTTTGGGGTTGGGGTAGTCACACACAGAAGCTCGATCGGGGTGGAAGGCAAAGTGCCCACTTCATAGCAGACAACTTTACATCAGATCTCCTTGAGGTTCCTTATAAATGTGCGTTGCACTCCGATCTTCTGCATGGACTCCAGCGAGTCTGTTATGCTTCCACAATGTAGACTGCACATGATTTTTTTTTTTGCGCTAAATTTAAAGGGAATAAGAGAAGTCACTTCGATTGTTTGGGAATCAAGTCACCTGTGTTCATTCCCACAACGGCATGAACGCCCATTTCTACCAGAGTATGTTAACAAAAATACCAAAAGAGTCCACGCATGCACGTAGCTAGACCAATGCTTTGTGCTAGACTTGCGCTGGGACAGAAAATAGGGCTTCCAAAGTGGAAAAATGACTGCTTTATTATTGTAAAGTGGGCCATTGTAGAAGTAGTGGTTCACATTGCTGACTTTCATACATCCGGCGTGGAGTAAAGTCCCATTTAATGGCCTCTCAGTCGGGATAGGCGAATACATATCTGCCATTTGAAAAATGGACACGTGAGTGTAGGTGGTTACAAGGAGTGGCGTCTCCTTTGACAATAGAGTCCTGTTTTAGACATCTGGAAGAGCTTGTAATTTGCGTGACTGGGACAAACAGATGCTGCATGTCATTTGCGCCTTTTTGATTTGCAATGCTCTACCTTGAAAAGCTGATTGTGTTTCATGGTACTTGTGCATTCCAAGCAGGCAATGTGAGTTCAGCACCTGTGCCTTTCAATTGACTGGCGACCAGTCCAGGGTGTAGTCTGCCTTTTGCCCCAAGCCGACTGGGATAGGCTCCAGCTACCTGCAACCCTGAACGGGATATGCGGGATAGAAAATGAATGGGCGGATTGGCTCCGCTGCAGAGATGACACGGCCGGCATGTCTCTCTGGTCAGATTGAGTGCTGACATGCCGGAATATCGGGAATGACTAAAACACGTACGGAAGATTAGGAAGAAAAGAAGGAGGATGCAGAGTGATGAGCGCCACCAAGCCTTTGGGTGAAGATGAGTTGTTGGGGCAGGACGGGGGTTATGTCGTATGGTTCAGTGCATGATTGTAGTTTAAATTTAAAATGGTGAGAATGTTTGCGTTGGCCGCCATGCAATTCCAAAGGCAAAATAAAAGTTGTTCATCAATCGTGGAATGGGAGTTGCTTCAGCGTTTGTTGCTCATCACACATTTTACCCGACTAGATTCTTACGGATTTTAGTTTTCGAGTTTTGTGTTGTTTTGGTGGTGAGATTTTTTTTCAGTCACTCAACTTCTCTATCCTGTTTTCATTTTCTAGTTACCCTCTGACTCTTCATCTCACAACAATTAGCCGATGTAGAAGACGGTCATCCCACATAGCTGGACATGACACTGCTGTTGTTGTGCCAATTGCTCTCCTCCGTCAGTCATTTAACCCATTTGCCCTGTTTTCTCTCTCACTCTCTACCCTTGATACATCAACTCTGTCTCTCCATCTCACCCCAAATGAGACAAACGGTCACCCCACGTAACCTTGGTTCTGGTCAAAGTTTCTTCATTCGGTAGAGTTTTCCTTTGCCTTCATCACCAAGTGCTTTCTCATGTGGAGTTCCTGTGTTTTTCTCGGCTTGACTTTTAGGAGTCACCCAGCTTCAACTGTAAGCTCCTCATCACCTCACTGTGTAGTAGAAGTTTATCAAATTTGGTCCAGGTTAGACAAACTCTTTGGGACATTTTTTAAGGACTCCTTGACATGATTAATATGGCCTTAAAATGTCCTTTAAAACCCCAGATGGCAGCTTTCCTATGTGTTTTCGGACATTAGTCTAATCTACCACACTTAAGAAAACAAGCAATTTTCACCTCATATTTGGGCTGTAATTAGTGTAGATTGTGTCCTCAGGGACATTAATGGCCACAGAACATCTTATATTGTTCTTGGAATTTGGTCTGCATCTGACACACACATTTTCTTGGGCTTTGCTTGTGTATTACATTGTTTGTCCGCGATTAAATCAACAGGGGTTCACCATATTTAGTTCAGTGTTGCCCAAGAATGTTTCATGAAGGTTCATGGGGTGTACTGGCGGTCCTTTTTTCTTTTTTTTTTAAAATATTGTTGGCAATGCCATTGTTTCACCCCGGTAGACAGATAACACACACGCACGCACGCACGCACACACACACACACACACACACACACACACACACACACACACAGATAAGAGTTAATAAGACCCTGTGAGAGTTTTAGAGCAGGAGGGATGTGTGTGTGTGTGTGTGTGTGTGTGTGTGTGTTCTCCACCCATCTTGAGCTGGAAGAGAAAAAGAATGGTGACACAGTGGTATTGTGAAGGGAAGAGAAATAACAGGAGAGAAAACTATGAAGGGTGTGGTTGTGACACAGAGGAGGAGAAAAGAAGAGATAATCAAAGGATTATCCTGGGCGACAGCCACTGTTGATGATTTTGATGGCTTGCTCCTCAGCTGGAGGTCACTTGATGTTGTCGTTAATTCAAATTATGTCCTTCTCGTGTCATTCCCTCGCGCTTTGCTGGCAGTTCTCGGGTGGACATTCCTCGTTAAAATATGAATGGCTGCTACATCAAGGCAGAGCTGCCTACAACTTTTAGTGGGCTTCATAACAATGAGTGAATGCTAAACAGTATATCCGTCTGGCTCACCCCAGGTGGCCGAGGCGGGCACACCATAAAGAGCAGCATAACGACAATTCAATCAATGCAGTGTGGCAAAGCAGTTGAACTCTTTTTAAATTCTATTTAATTGTGTCATTACAATTTACTTTTATAAGGGACAATATTATGCAGCTATTTTTCCTCATTAAAATACAACATTTTTAAAAAGAAAGGCTGAAATGGATTGACGGCCTTTCCATTCATTTCGGCAGGGAGGCAAGACACCACTCTATTGGAAAAAATGTCCACCGTCACCACGTTCACGTGCCAAGCGCGGTCTTACTCTGCGGCAGCCATGCGGCATCATGTCAGTTTATAATCAACAGTCTGGATGTTTTTAGCCATTGATCAATGAAAATAGTTAGGTTGCATACATTGGTGTAAACCTGTTTTGTTAAAAATTGATGCTGCTGGAGGACCGATTTAGCCAGGAAGTGCTTATGGATTAATTTCCACCTATCACACTGCTTAGTCAGCTCGTCATCTTATTTTACAGTTTTAATCAATGATAGTGTAATAATTTGCATTCATTTTTAGACTCCAGCTAGTCTGTTGTTTTTTTTTTTAAATAATTTCCCATTAAGTAGTGATTTAGAGATGTGAGGATTTTGCCTAAGAGTGATGATAAGTGGAATGAATGAGGTTTTTTTCTGTCTGTGTTGTCAGGTGGTACGCACGGTGGGGATGTTCGAGCTGCAGATTCGCCACTATCAGAACCCCAACGGAGTCCTTCTGAACGGAGACTGCTGCGACATCCCGGTTGGCGGCGGGCAGCGCTGCTCGTCTCGAGACCAGTGTGACACTTTTTTCCAAGCCTGCCTCAAGGAGTACCAGGCCCGCGTGGTCCCGACCGGAACCTGCACCTTTGGCTCAGGCAGCACCGGGATATTGGGAGGAAATTCCCAGTTGCTCCATCGCCGCGTTCATGATGGAGGAGGAGGAGGAGGAGGAGGAGATGATGGCAACAATGGACTCATTGTCATTCCCTTCAAATACGCTTGGCCAGTAAGTACATGGGCAGAGTTGGTTATCTGTGGGGGTTACCAAGGTAACGCTCTAAGCTTCAAGCACAACAATACACTCAAACATGGCTGGCTGGAATAACAATGACCCTTAGAGGCAGAGTTCAGATTCCTTTTCTTTCCCTCTCGGCCAGGCAACAAAGGCTTTCTCACTTTATCTGCTCGGGGAAATTCCCTTTTAAAACGACCAACGTTGCTCAGGTCCATCATGCTTAATTGACTCACAATGGAAATCGTTTTTGACTCAAAACAAGCCACATTGTAAACATCAGCGGCCTCCATCTTGAAAATATTTACATTACATCAATCATATAATGATGAGACAGGGGTTGGACTTTTCCCACTAGTTCCCATTGAGTCTAAAGTCGAGGTATCACAAACAACATGTTACAGTGTCAGCCCAGTGAGCCGAGAGGTTATCCTGTCTGGCCACATGTGTAATGGTGTGGTGTCCTCATACTTATTATCCATAGAATGTATGTTTGTCATATTCCATTGCTAAATACACATCTTTTTGCGGAAGGAAGTGATACCTTGCAGATTGTTACGATGAAAATGACAATAGAGCTGTTGTTGTTACATTCTCTGTCCCCTGAATTAGCTCCCTGTTATATTTATTTATGCCTCGATGCCTTGGTGTAAAATTAAGTTTCGACCTGGTTTCCACTCTGGCCATTTGTATTGTATAACGTATACTTTATTGACATTACGATGAAAATGACAACAGAGGTGTTGTTACATTCTCTGTCCACTGAATTAGCTCCCTGTTGTATTTGTTTATGCCTCGATGCCTTGGTGTAGAATTAAGTTTCGACCTGGTTTCCACTTTGGCCATTTGTATTGTATAACGTATACTTTATTGACAGTTGGCCATTTCTGTAATCGTGAATGTATTAGCATTTGCTGACCTAATTATTTTTGTTTTAATACACTTGTACCAGCTATTATGTTTTGCTTACGTTGAGTACCATTATTGTCATTGAATTAAAGATTACAGCCATAAAGCTGAT